CTATATAGAACCATGAACACTCAAAGAACCCTTTGCATGATTCAAGGGCTCTTTGCATCATGCTATATAGACAATGTGCAAGAGTGTGCTAAAGGCGGTTCTATATAGAACCTTATTGAAAAGGGGTCTATGTAGCACCCAAAAGGTTTCTTTTGTTGTTACAAGCTGGATAATGTAACGATAGAAGATCCATTTTGGGTGCTATATAGAACCATTTCCAAAAAGATTCTTTATAGAACCATCTTTAGCACATTTTACACCAGTCTGTAGAACTGTGAACACTCAAAGAACCATTTAATCATGCAAAGGGTTCTTTGAGTGTTCATGGTTCTATATAAAACCCATTTTCCTTACTAAAGAACTCTTGAAACACCATCTTTTTAGGAGTGTAGCACACCTGATCCAGATAATGACAGCCTTGATGGGCATCTGAATATTGTGTGTTGGATCTGAACTCTCTATGATGGTAGATCTGAAGGACCAAGAATGGGCAGCCCTGTAGTAGACATTTGGATGAACAGTACTTTGCGAGTTAGACTGTGCCTTCAGTGTGTGGTTGTAGTATGAGGGGAGGCTGATTGAGGAAAGGGAAACAGCTTGGAGAACTTGTGCTGGAGTGCTGCAGCTTCTGTTTGGAGCTAGAAGACCAGATCATCCCCACCATGAACTGTGGTAGGACCTACCGATAGAACTGAGGAGTTGGGAGGAGATGGGGTGGTGTTGGGGATCACAAAAACCTTGCCACAGGAAATAGAAGGTAGAGATGGGAACTGAAAAGGTGTTAGATTGGAACGAGGAGGGGATTCAGGCATGGTCCCCCTGCCCAAATTCCAGTTATTCCAGGACTCCATCTGAAGCTTTGAGGAGAAAATCAAGCTCCACTCTTAATTCAGATCTGAAAACATTCACAGGTATTTCTGCCCATCCTTCCACTGTAAAAGACAACTGAACGCTATGAGTCTGAAAGGAAGTGTAGCTGTCAAGAAGACCTCACTGACTGGCCACCCTGGAGTCCAGACCTCAACATTGCTGAATGTTTTTAATGGCCATTCTGACTGGAAATTAAATAAATGAATGGTCTCTACTTTTTGCACATTGCCGTATGTTGCAAGGCCTTGCGATGGACTGGCGACCTGTCTAGGATGTTTCCTGCCTTCTGGCCAATTACCACTGGGATAGGCTCAAGCACCCCCTGCGACCTAGAAGCATAAGCGGCTTAGATGGTGTGTGTGTGTGTGTGTGTGTGTGTGTTGCAAGAACTTGAAATTGAAGTGGTGCATCTTGAAGCACCTACAGTGCTCAATAATCGTTTACTCGACGAATGTGGACGAAAGAGAATCATTGCTGAACGACAAAGATAAGCTTCAAACAGCGACTGCATGGTCAACTCTGGACGATATCTGAACTGAAACCTGCTCTGTTCAAGAAAATCCACTTTTCACTGTAATCCTAGGAAAAGAAAATGAAACCCCTGAGATATCAGAAGAACTAGGCATGAAAATTAACGAAGAAGAGGCTGTTACAATTCAGTTTGAACCGAGAAGCACCGACTCCTCTTCGAAATAACGGAGAAGCGACATAAAGTGATTCCAGTCATGAAAAAAGGAAAAGAAACAGAAGGTCCGCTTGATTGTGGACAAACTTTATATTGTACATGAGTGGACATGAACAAGCCACTGAGTAGGCTTAAGGACTGCCTGAGCACCACCAGCAAGCAAAAACATCCAGGAGAAAAAAAGGGAAAAAGAAATAAATAAAAAGGAAAGCAGACATATGGTGAGTTGTAAGGAAGCCAGTTAGGCATAAGTAGGCTAGTGAAAATGCTGAATTGAGCTGATGAATAATATATCAATCCTACTAACAACATGTGCAGCTCGTCTGCAGTCTATGTTATTTCAAGGGGATTACTGCACTGCACTGCTTCACTGCACCTTTTAAACCCTGCACCTCGCAAGCATAGTGGAGTTAGTATACAATATGTGTGGAAGCAAATATTCCGACGCCATTACTTTTTTTATTTAGTATACTTGCAGTACATGAATACACTTCAGTTTTATACACATAATATCTTTAGATTTTGTGCTTATAAATATCAACAAAAAAGTACTTTGTTTCAAAGCCTTCGTTGGCAGGTCACAATGGTAAGAAGTACAGGGAGATTCACTCAAAAGAGGCCCCGAATATTCTGTAATAACTCTCGCTAGGACGAAGCAATCCGAACATAACAATGTGCAGTGTGCTCCTCAGTATATGGAGCTTCAAACAAGCCAGGATGCCCCTGCGTTGGAGCGATGAGGTAGGCGCAATGCAATCAATTACACATACGTCAAGGTATGTAGCGTATTTTTTTTGGTTCAGTTTGATTCATCCTAACGGGAGTTACAACAGAATATTCGGGGCCTCTTTCAAGTGAATCTCCCTGTAATTGGCTTTTTTGCAGCATTGTGGCTCAGTTTTGGCCCATTCCTTTTGGCAAACCATCTTCAGTTCCCCAAGGTTATGAGGGTCTCTCTGATGGACTGTCAATTTCATAATCCTTTATACATTTTCAACAGGATTCGAATCAGAACATTGGCCAGGCCTTGCAAGCAGCATCGTCTTCTTTTTAGTCTTGCATTATTTTGACTGTATGTTTGGCATCATTGTCTTATTGAAACGTCCAACTTCTACCCAGATTCATTTTCGTTGATGAGAATTAAATTCTCCTCTAATATCTCCCAGTGCGTTCCTCCAATTATGTTTCCTTAAAGGCATGTAATGCCCCAGTACAATTTCCAGAAAAGCAAAGCATATCATAATGCTCCCACCTTCATACTTCACTTTGGGCATGCTCTTTGGATCATATGCCCAAGTCTTCTTTCTCCAAGCATGACAAGCTGAATTATCGCCAAAGAGTGCCTAAGTGTACCTTGTTCCTAAGGATTTCTGACTTGTCTAAATGCTTGTGTGCTAATTTCAGACGTGCAAATGTGCTTCTTTTTAGCAAAGGTGTCGCGTGGGGTGTTGGAACGGAAATTATGGTGGTACAGATCGATGCATATTGGGCTTAAATGTTCTTGTAGCTGCTTCAAGCCATCCTGCAGCTCTCGGTGTGCACTGTATGACTTTTAAAATCCTAATAGATTTCTAAACCAGTAAGCATAACACACTTAAATCTAGTCTATCAGTCTATCATAGAATTTCTTGTCTTTTTGCCATGAGGGCGTGGGCAAAGAGAGGCTATCACACACGTGTGTTTTGGCTACAAATAAGAACTCAAACCACCAGAGCTCCCCTGTTATCATGACATAAACAAAGCTAAACTGGACAGGACTTTATGTGTGGTGAAAGTGCACCCTGAGGATGAATATGGGCTTGTGAAACTCTGGTATCACAGTGAGAGCTGGAGAATTGTTCACTACAAACTGGCAGCTGACTTGAAATCATGTGCCTTAACGTCTGGATACACACATTATTAACATGGTAAAGGCTTTTATTTGGCTGTATTCAACAAGCAGCTCCTCTGTCTCCACTGTCCATTGCACATGTGGTGAGTCTCTTTGCCTTTTTTCTGCACCCTTCCAGCTCTCACATTGGCTGTTACATGAATCACTCGTTGAGCTCCATTGCTGACTGTCTCATCTGCAGAACCTGTGAATATTTTGGGTTGTAAAAATTAAACACCTTTGAAAATCTCGGAGGGCCTCCAGTCGCTCCAGAGCTCCATCAGAAGGCCAAAGGTGGACTCCTTTCTCCTCTTACTCGGCCAGGTTGTCCATGCCGTCAATCGCTTCCCATGGAGCTTGAGGTTTAAGGTCTTTGCTAGGGTCCGCTAGGGCTCTATGGCTTTTCGCCTCTGGGCATTTTTTAATAAGATTGTCCCTGAGAACTGTCGGAAGCTTCTTTAACTTCACCATGGTTGCTACTTGTTGAGTGAAATTAAAATTGTTGTTTGTAATTGACACAGGGTACAATTTGCAGCAGAACATTTATTTTTCAGCTTCAATATCTAGCACTTTACTTATGTTGTGTAACCTATATGCATGTATATTTATATTATATATGGTCTTTTTTTTAAATGTAGTATTCTTCATCATTTAAACGTCTCTGCTTATACTTATAAACGCTTGCTTTTTTTGTTTGTATTCATCAGTACAAAGTCAAAAGACACTGTATGTACAGTTAGAGCATATTTGTTCTAGAGGTGTATTAAATAACCAAAACAAAAGTGTCAGAATACTTGTTTCCCCTCACTGTACAGCCTTAATAAATTTCAGATTCACTGCGAGCGCATTGCGGATGCATCACGAAGCATTAAGCGCCGCGCCTTCTCACATACATACATCTGGCCTTCAGTCTCTGGATAGTCTGCTCCACAGCTGTAAATCTGTGAAGCTAAAGCTCCTCGCTTGGGCGAGAGAGGAAGGAAGGCGCGAGCGAACATCCGCAGTTCATTATTACGAGGCAGTAACAACTTTCGCAATTAAAATGTGCCTGTGCAGCCAAAACAAAGCCCATTACGCTCTCAATACAGCTTTCATAATTGAATTGTTCTTAGCCGGGGAATTGAAAGGGGGCCGGTTAACGACGTGCCCTTGAGCGCAAGATTTGACAAACTGTTTCGGCCCATACTTTCCCAATACTTTGGCTTATTGAGTGGAAGGCAAGCGATGAGAAAGAGAGAGGCTATCAAAATGCGATGCAATAAGCAAATTCAAAATGTCAGGCTTGCATGCTGTGTGTTCCGGCGCAGTGCGATTCTACCTTCGCAATGAAGCAATTACAGCGAGCAGGCAGTCATTCTCCGTCACCCAGCACGAGCCGGCTCAGCTCTAAAAGCACACAATGCCCTGAATATTATAGTACGGTGGAAGGGGGGGGCGACCTGCTGAGTGAAAGTTATACGCGATGATGTCTTGAAGAGATGCAAGCGGAAAAGAAAGGGCCATTTGTGTGCCTGTCTGCATGTGTATGTTTTCCTGAAGCTCACTGCTCCTCTCTTGGGTCTTGTCTCTTTGCAGGAGAAATCTGTGCGTTTAAGATCCACGGGCAGGAGGCGCCGTTCGAGGCGGAGGTGCTGAACAGAACATCGGGCGAAGGTGTGCTGAGGGCCCGGGGCCCCATCGACTGCGAGCAACAAAAGGAGTACACCTTCATTATCCAGGCCTACGACTGCGGGGCCGGTCCCAATGGAGCCGGTTGGAAAAAGAGCCACAAGTATGTAGAGATGACTAATGTAATTAATGGCTGTCAAATGATTAAAACGATTAATCGCGATTAATCGCATTATTTTATGTAGTTAATTACGATTAAACACACTTGTCTCATTTGCTCATACAGTCGTATGCAGTCGTTCTGTGTAGTTAATCGTGATTAGTCTGACTTTTTGTAGTTAATTGCGATTAATCGGTTTACTTTGTGTCGTTAATCATGATTAATCACATTGTTTTGTGCATTTAAACACGATTATTTGCATTATTTTCTGTAGTTAATGGCAATAATTGCATTGTTTTGTGATGATGATCACAAATAATTTGATTATTTTTGTAGTTAATCGCGATTAAACATATTTGACTTGAATGCTAAAGCTGTCACACAATAGTTTAGGCATCCTTCGTCAAATAATGATTTTTAAGTGAAAATTACTACACATCCTCCACAGTGAACACACTTCTGCACATTTTCATGTGAAACTACTATTTATTTGCTGATTTTAACTTATTGGAAAACAAAATTAAACAATACATTTATGGCACATTCTGTATTTTTATTTGAAATTCAGCAAATAAATAGAAATTGGGTGCTACAATTTGCAGAAAAGATACATATGTTAACTTTTATTTAGAAAGTCAACAAAATGACTTTTGCATGTGACTGTACTTGATCCTAAAGAAATATTTTCCAATTAGAAAGCAACTCGTTTTAGTGTAGCCATAAGCTGTAAGCTGTAAAACATTTTAATTAGAATGCATTTCTTATTTTCAATACCATTTTTATTAAATCACTACCATGGTCTCATTGTGGGAACACTAAGCTAAACATTAAGTTTTAATGTTGAAGTTTCATTTTTAAGTGGAGATTTAATTTTCACATATGCAAACTGAATACCTGAGATCAAGACTTACAGATTCACCAGTTGGATTTAAATTTTCACAAAGAAAAATAGGAAATAAAAGCTAAAATGGCTTGCCATAGTATATAGAATTTCCACATCAATTTCATTTTTAATGGTGTGGAAATTAATTGACTACTTGTTAAACTTTTATTCATGTTAGTAAAAATTCTTACTGCAATTATAATGAACTAGAAAAAGCTTGAATTCTTACCAATGAAATTTTACATGGTAAATTAGAATCCCTAATTAATACATTTTTCCTAAAAAATTAAGTTTCTGGTGTCAACAGCACTTTTTTGTTTCTTAATGAAAAGTTAAGAGCATATTTACCAAACAATTCACTGTTAACTGTCAACACTTCATCTCTTAAAATTCATAGTTCTATTTCTGAGAATTCTAGTTTTCTTTGTTTTTTTCATCGTGTACATTGCAGCAGCCAAACACACCTTCACTGGGCAGGTTTTTAGTATGCATGAGCTCATTTACATGTGGATTTTGATTGTCTCTTGCTTAGGAAAATACCGCAGTGGGAAAAGGGCACCGGTGTGCTAAATGCTGAAAAAGGGCACCAGTGTGCTAAACGCTGCCACAGTAACTTTATGAATAGCTCTTATTTACAGTGACACACATTTTACATGGTGTACTGCTGTTACCACCTAGTTTTATGTATCTCGCTCTGTATATTTGTCAGTTTCAGTAAATCAGAATCAGAAATCGTAAAATGTCATCACTTTACTACAATAAGTGCAAAACACTGGCTGATCAAAAAAAAATGACCAGAGGATCTATGATCTGATCTTGTTAGCCTTCTGATTCCCCACTGTGTTCTGCAGATGACGTAGAGCTAATGCTGCGTAATAATCACTGTTGGAGATCAGAACTGGTGAAAGGATTAAGCGATATGAGGTTTTAAGCGACGGTATTAAAGCTGATACTTGATACTCCCACAAATACGAAATAATAGCATGTAGCCTGCTCTACCTTTCTGACAGCGGCTTAAAAGAAGACTTCAAAAGGTTAATGTGACTAAGAACGAATAGGAGCTGATTGTGACCAGTTATCACAGTTTAACAAAGCTAGCATTTTAGAGATGCATTCCTCTGTGCACTTATAGCCATTCACACTTCCATTCATTCACTCTGCTGCAGAGTACAAAGCGTATAATTTTATTCTCAGTGTGCCAGCATTACACAACACCTCCATTTACAGTACTGAAGCTCAGAAGTTGACTTTACTCAGGGGTTTTAACTTGACGATTGCCTTGAGCCACCTAAGTTGTCTGACTGAACCCACTAGTGTAACATTTAATGATTCCTTTAGGGAGGAAAAGTAAATAAAGTCGGCTCAACTCATCACCCAAGGCGGTACGTTCTTGTGACATTTGATGTGTTGGGGCGGCCTGTAATACAGCATTTAGGGCTGCTGGGTATGAGGAGCACGTTCTTTCATCCCGAGTTTAGTATGTAGAACGCATTTTCTACACAAGTCGTGCTCTCATGTGTTATGTCTGACACGCATGTAGACAAGTAAGGGAAATGTATTCCGCAGTGCTTTAGATCAAAGCAGAGCAATAGCAGTCGTTTTAATATACCGTACCGTTTCAAAGCATCAGAGCTGATGGGGTAATCTGCAGGGAGATGTAGGACATGTAGCATCTCTTACAAGCACTAGTCAAATGCAACGGGCTGCTACAAGGACATTTACTCCAATTTGTTGAAATGATTACGTGCTTATAGACACTCACTGTTGTACAATAGGGCTGAGCAACATTGGGGGAAAAGTCATATTGTCCTTTTAGGCCTTTATGATAAACGTCATGGTATTTGAAAAAAACAGAAAGAGCCAGATTAAAATACTCCCAGGTCTACTAGTTGTCACCCAAGCAAAGGAAAAGGTGGATATAGAGAGGAAAATAGGGAAGGAGAATTCCACCATTTCCATTCCAGAAGCCTAGCAGCATCTTAGCAACCACCTGGGATACTATAGGAGTGGCCAAGCAACACTTTAGCAACCATCTGATAGCATAGCAATGGTCTAGGAACACCTTAGCAAGCATCTGGGATATCATAGTAATGACCTGGCAACATTTTAACAAGCACCTGGGATACCATATCAATGATATAGCAACACCTTGGCAGCCATCGGGGATAACATGGTAATGTCTTAGCATGACCTTTCCATGCCAGCAGCCTAGCAACACCTTAGCAACCACCTGGGATACCATGGTAATGGCCAAGCAACGCTTTAGCAATCACCTGATAGCATAGCAGCAGCCCAGGAACACCTTAGCAACCACCTAGGATGCCATAGCAATGGCCTAGGAACACCTTAACAACCAACTGGCATTCTATAGCAACACCTTAGCAACTGCCTGGGACAGCACAGCAATGTCCTAGCAACACCTAAGCAACAACCTAGGATAGCGTAGCATCAGCTTAGCAACACCCTAGCAACCAACCATAACAACAGCCTAGCAGAACCTTAGCAACCATCTGGGATACCACATCAATGGCCTAGCAACACCTTAGCAGCAACCTGGGTTACCATCACTTTAGAAACCACCTGATAACATAGCAATGGTCTAGCAACACCTAAGCAACCACCTGGGATACCATAGTAATGGCCAAGCAACACTTTAGTAACCATCTGATAGCATAGCAATGGTCTAGCAACACCTAAGCAACCACCTGGGATACCATAGTAATGGCCAAGCAACACTTTAGTAACCATCTGATAGCATAGCAATGGTCTAGGAACACTTAAGCAACCACCTGGAATTCCATAGTAAGTAGAATACCATAGTAATGACCTGGCAACACCTTAGCAACCACCTGGGATACCACATCAATTAGCAGCAATGTGGGATATTTTAGCAATGGCCAAGCAACACTTTAGCAACCACCTGGGATACCATAGTAAAGACCAAGCAACACTTTAGCAGCCACCTGATAGCATAGCAATGGTCTAGGAACACCTTAGCAACCATCTGGGATACCATAGTAAAGACCTGGCAACACCTTAGCAAGCTGGGATAGCATAGCAATGACCTAGCAACACCTTAGCAACCACCTGGGATACCATAGTAACAATCTGCACCACCTTAGTAAACACCAAAGATACCATAGTAATGACCTAGCAACACCTTAGAAACCACCTGGGATACCTTAGTAACAACCTGCACTACCTTAGCAAACACCTAAGATACCATAGTTTTGACCAAACACCTTAGCAAGCACCTGGGATAGCATAGCAATGGCTTAGGAACACTTTGGCAACCACTTAGGTCTTGCATCCCTGTGTATTTATCTAAATCTTAAACTTGCCTATTTAATTTTTAAGGTTTTAGTGGTCAGTGTCACCATGGCAACCATTAGACATCTTCAGGCTGCCACTGGTAGTGCCACAGCTTTACACCAACTTTGCAGTACAGCAGAGAATGAGCCCATTTTGTATTGTAGTCACAGTGAATTCGGCTAGTCCCTGGACATAATCAATCCTAGCCGCAAGCAGCCTTAAATTAAATTATGGTTATGCTACTGTAATTGTATTACAGCATATTGCTATTACTATGTGTCTTTCATTATATTGAAAATACATTAGTGAAGCCTTGATATGATGTGATTGGCCTGCATTATTTATTATCAAAAAGATTTTTTTTTTTTTGGATAAACACTTTGAGTCATCCAAACACCCTGAAGAACATTTGTGATTGGTCAGGACGCTTTAGGCACGCAATAAAACATTTCTTATATTATTTTATAATATTTTATTCACACGAAAATCGGTTAGGGACTCATTCACATATTGCACACTTCTGGGACATCAGTGATGAGAAGACTGAAATGGCAGAAAATGACAAACAAATAATATATTCTGCGGCCTTTACTTATTACTGTGCGATAAGCTATTTGTTACGCTGTTATATGTAATCTGTATAGCAGTAATAAGTAGCTAATAGCTGCTAGTTGCACTGTGAGTTACACCCTGTGCATTCTATGCCCTTATGTACTGACAGACTGTCTTCTCTCTCTCTCTCTCCTCTCTCGTATTGCTCCTGGTCATGCCCTGTGCTTAGCCCTGCCCTGCTCTGCAGTGATGACCTATCAAGACTTTTACAAAGTTGCCAGAAGCTGGACATGCTCTCTCTCCACAGTAGCTGGAGTAGATTTCTGATAAAGTGCCATACAAAACAGCTTCAGCGCTCAGAGAGAGCGAGTGAGCGAGAGAGAGAGAGTTTTACAAGAAGTTTTTGAAGATGGGCATCAGTGATGAATGCCTTGACACAGTGTAATATATTTGTTTTTGTACTTTTTCAGGCCAAAAATGTCCTGACTGTAAGAAAAACAGATAAAATCAGGACTGACCTATAATGTCAAGACCAGCAAAAGTTTTCTTTCTGAAGTGAAGTACTCACATGTTTAATATATCTAAAACTAAAAGAGCAGATCCATTTCTTTTTGTTTACTAAGGTTATGTTTAGGGATAGGCTTATAAAATGCTTATTACACACACACACACACACACACACACACATATATATATATATGTATTTTATAATACATATGGGCATATTATTGTTACACTTTACAATATTTACATATATAAAATACATATTGGTTATTATTTACACATCAAGTGATACGTTTATACACACTGTTGTCACAACAAAACCTCGTTTCTCCAAAATTATAACTTCACAGGAGAAAGAAAAAACATACTTTACTTTCAATGTAAGTCATTGGTACGAAGGCATTTAGGGCCACTGTTAATAAAAATAAAAATTGTAGCCTTCCAGAATAAAGCCATAATATTTTAAGAAAAAAGTCGTAATATTTTGAGAAAAAAAAAGTAATATTTGGAGGATAAAGTGGGCTAACTGTAAGGGGGCTGCCATAATGCGTTGGGGTCTCGGTTGCTGTATTGGCACTGGTGTTCCACTCACTCCTGTCTCTTTTGGATCATTTTGATTATCATTCTCACTGTCTATGAAACTTCATGCCCTCTTTGAATGGCACAGAGAAGTAGCCCCCGATAGCCATGTAGACGACCCTGCCTGCGATTCTCCTTTAACAAAACAGACAGACAGACAGTTTCCTCCGAGTCCGTCTGGCTCTTCATTCTAAATAAACAGTTTCCTGCTCAGCCATTTCAGCCGTTTCTTATACTAATAACAGGCTGGTGCTGATGTGCAGGAGAGACAGGGAGACTGAGTGTTTCTTTATGGGTGAAATCGATATGAAAGTAGAACTCCACCAACTTCTCAGTGCCCCTCCTTTAACACGAGGAGGTGCCTTTGCAAAGTTTTTGGCCACAATATTGCGACCTTTCCTGGTATTAATGCCACTTTAATGTCGTAATTCTATGACTTTTTTCTCGAAATAGTACGACTTTATTCTAAAAATATTATGACTTTTTTTCTTGAAATAGTACGACTTTATTCTCAAAAATATTATGACTTTTTTTCTTGAAATAGTACGACTTTATTCTCAAAATATCATGACTTTCTCGAAATAGTACGACTTTATTCTAAAGTATTATGACTTTTTTCTCGAAATAGTATGACTTTATTCTAAAAATATTGACATTTTTCTCGAAATAGTACGAATTTATTCTCAAAATATTATGACTTTTTTTCTCAAAATATTATGACTTTATTCTAAAAAATATTATGACTTTTTCTTGAAATAGTAAGACTTCATTCTCAAAATATTATGACTTTTTTCTCGAAATATCATACCATACTAACTTTTTCTCAAAATATTATGACTTTCTTCTCGAAGTCTACTATTTTTATTTTTATTAACAGTGGCCCTAAAATGCCGTCATACGTTGGAGCCAGACTTTTTTCCAAGATATTTTAGGCCATTTCTTTTGGTCTATTTATCATGAAATTATGTCAAAAACTGAAAAATAAAATATGTATGTGGCGTATATATTATGGACACTGTCATCAGTAATACATAGTGGATATACTAGTAGTATGTATAGATCCATATATATATATATATATATATATATATATATATACCCTCATGTCCTGACAAAAGCAAACTTATATGTATCTCTGTGTGTTTGTGAGTTTGTAAGACAGGGAATCATTATTGCAGGATTTTCTAATTACAGGTTTCATTAACTTAATTTATCATTAACTCATCAGGTCTCATTAACGTCATTTCAAGTCGGAAGACACGACAACACGAGGCACCATCAGTTACCGTCAAACAAGGTCACATGCTGAAAGGAATCTGCCCGTCGGGTCACACTTTGTGGCTACACTCAAAGATATCTGCTTTCATACATCCTAAAACACTCCAACAGTTTGCTCCAAGCTACCTTGGTTACATGAGAACTATTCAAATGATGAATGCATTTCGCTTTATACGCATCTGGGTGTAGTTAAACGAATTAATTATTATCATTAGTAATTTCTGGTGAGGTTCTGTGAAGATTTATCATTGTCTGTATATGCACGCTGAGTATGAATTGGTAAAAGCAGTTATAATGGGTGATAAATGGATGGTAAATAATGCACCAGTGAAGAGATAAATGATTCTCTCCGTATAGCCCTGCTGCTTTTCCTCCCTACTACTGTTTTAGAGTATTTTTCTTTTAATCAGATGTATTGTATTTCTCCGCAGCACAGCATGAGGTGCTGCTTATAAGTCTGGCCGGTCTGCGGTGCACAAAATGAACCTTGATTATTATATGAAATACTGAAAAATAAGTCAGCGCTCAGTGTTCGTAATGCTTCATTAGCTTCCCAAATATGGAGATGCATTTTAAAGTCAAACTGGCGCAGCTCGCTTCTACTAACACGTCTTCATCTGTGTCTTTCCTTTCTCCACCTCTCTGCCTCTGCGCTCCTTTCCTCTGTTCCCTCATGGCAGAGCGGTGGTTCATGTCCAGGTGGACGACGTGAACGAGTTCTCGCCGGTGTTCAGGGAGCCGGTGTACCGGGCCACGGTGACGGAAGGGAAGATTTACGACAGCATCCTGCAGGTGGAGGCCTGGGACCAGGACTGTTCACCTCAGTACAGCCAAATCTGCAACTACGAGATCGTCACGCAGGACACGCCCTTCGCCATCGACCGCAACGGTGAGGCTCCACGCAACACAAAGGAGATCATGAAGGGTTTCGTTCCAAAACTATAACCTATGGTTCTATATAGAACCTTTTTGAAAAGGGTTCTATATAGCACCAAAAGGAGTTCTTTTCATTACAACCTTGACATCATAGGCTCTTAAACAAGACGGTTCTTCAAGGGTTCTTTAGTAAAAGACATGGTTCTATAAAGAACTAAGAACACCCAAAGAACCCTTTGCAATAAATAGAGGGTTCTTTGCATCATGAAAGAGTTCTTCAGATTGATGGAGAACGTGTTGTAGATGGTTCTGTACAGAACATTTTTGAAAAGGGTTCTATATAGCACCCATACTTGCTTGACACAACAGTAGAAGAACGCTTTTGGGTGCTGTATGGAACCCTTTTCAAAAATATTCAATATAGAACCATCCACAGCAGATTCAAGAACCCTTTCATGATGCACAGAACTCTTTAATCATGCAGAGGGTTCTTTGAGTGTTCATGTTCCTGTAGTACCATTTTCTGTACTAAAGAACCCTTAAAGAACCATCTTTTTCAGAATGTAAGAACTCACTTTCTGCTTGGGATTATGAGGTTCTCTCAGGCAAAACATGAAAATAAGCAGTGATTTTTAAGGAACACAAACAGGTTACTTGTAATTTGTTATAAAACATGAAAATTAATGTTGTAACAGAGGATCTACATGTACCACAAAGGTAAATTGAATGTTTTCTATGACATTTTTTATGACATTTGCTTTTATTATTTATTTTTTATGGCATTTATTTCTTGTTGAGGATGAATCATCTTTAAGACAGCAAGGCATTTTTATGGAACTGCAAGAAGACAGGCAATGTTTCACAACATGTTTTCATGTTTCACAAAGTTATTAGCCTTCTTAGCCTTACAAACTTATAAATGATTATTAATTAATGAACTAATTAATGAATTCAACCTGTCACTGCACTAATTAAAATGTACTACAATGTACAGGTATTTAAAGAGGCATGCAGCTAATTCTCACTGCCACTGTAGCTGAAAACAAACTCTCTGTTACACTAAGTCAGTGATTGGCAACATGCGGCTCTTTTACTGCCTTGTTGCGGCTCCACAGCAGAATTAGATTTATAGATAAAAATAATCCTCCTTCGCAGTAAAATAAAGCTCTGCTGATCGTTCAACACAGTTTTAACACTAAATGGTCATAAACGCTGGAGTTAATGTAGAACTGCTAATTCACCCTTCAACCTTGAAGGTTGGCGCGCAGACTGCTGGTCACCACAGCAACGCAGACAACAATCTCGCTAGTAGCTAACGAAACAGCAAAGAGAGAGATTTAAGACGAACATCGATAATTTGGAGACGAATGGACTTACTTGCATTTATAAGCACTCAGCTGGTCTTCTGATCCGTTTAACCTGCAGCGAGAAACCGTTAAACACTAAAAAGTCGAAGCTGAAGTCTCATTGCAGTTTTCCGTTCCACCTTAAATGGTGCAGCAGGCATTGGGAAAATTTTAACAAGAAGCAGGTGAATGAGAAGCGACTTCAGCCTCATAAAAAACCAAACATTGAGAGACGTTTTACAAGAAACTGTTCTACTTTTGAAAACGTTTCCTGCCAGAGATGCGAGAAAAGATTCAAGATTTTATTGTCATATGTACAGCAGAAAGAGGCAGTTACACTGTACAGTCAAATTCTTAGTTTGCTGTTCCTCCATTCACCAAATGTAATCTTAGAAAAAAAAATATAAAATATAAAACATAAAAAAATATATCAAATAAGTAGAAATACACTAAAAACAGTAGTAAAGAAGTAAAAACGTACAGTTATATGTGCAAAGTTGAAAGAAAAATTAAAGTTATGTGTGCGAAATGTGGCTGTAGCTGAGCTAAAACTTAAAGTAGAGCAGAGTAAGTCTGCGTTTTCATTTATATTAAATTAGTTAGCCTATATGAACACATTAACACAACCTGAGACATATTTGGACATTAAAATGTTGTGGTTTGCTTTTTGTTGAAAGGGCAAAATGGCTGTTCTTAACATTTGGGTCCTTTCTATTCTCTGTCTTGGTATCACTGGAGTGCTTGTTTCTCCCTCTGTCTGCTGTGCTAGTGTCTTCTCATTGCCCTCTGTTTCTCTCTCTCTGTCTCTGCTGGCGGACTAATTTGACGTTGCTCTTTTCCTACACTGCTTCTTCCCTCTTCTATCTTAGGAACAGTTTCTCTACCACTCTCTGATGATGCTTTCTCTCTCATCACTCTCTGATGATGCTTGATGTCCCTTTGTCTGATGCTCTCTTTCTTTTCATTACTCTCCTGGTGTTTTCCTCTCTACCACTACTTTTCTGCCTGGATGAGTCAGGATCATCACAAAAATAAAAACAGACGAAAGAGTTAGGAGCATGGTACCTTTGATTAGCGACAGGCTGCATTAAGATCTAACAGCACAGTCATTCTGCAGTCATTAATGTTTTAATAATGAGGCAACTGTTAGAACGATCTTTCTTCAAAAACTAAAACCCATCCTTTACTGCTTGCCTCCAGTAGCTGGCAGAGTAGCATTAGCAAGCCAGTGTGGTAGCTAATAATGAAAATTCTCCTCAGCAAGATCTAAAACAATTAAAAAAGACATAACTTGCCTGTCATCTGAACTGTTGTCCTTCATGAGATAATACAATCCTCCGTCTTGAGGTTTCTCGTAAACTTGCAGCGACGTGACAAAGAATCAGAACCTGATTGGTCCTCTTTTATGTATTCGAAGTGCCGATTGGCTCACGAATAGAACCTTCTAGAAGTTAGAGTTTGACATTGGAGTCCAAAAGCCAACAAATGCATACAAAAGCACCTCACATAATGTTAAGATGTCATCACAAAATAAGAACATGAATAACTCAGTTTTGATGAAATGGACCCTTATAAATCCGAGAGGACGATACAGAAATGTGTGGTTTGGGACGCAGAGTTACATCAACTAGTAAGACACGTTCAACAGCTACTTCACTCTGCTGCTCGGTAGATGCTCATTAAACATCTCCAAGCGAAAGTTTGAGGTATTTGTTGATTAAGGATCATTTATTGAGGTACATTAATGCATTTCTTTATTATTAGGGAAGCAACAACTTTTTGTAATTCGCTCTACATTTAAGGCACCTCAGTGTAACAGCAGCACCGTCTAAGATGGAACAGAAAATTGAAATAAGATGCTGGTGAATAATAAGTATAGATGTATATGAGTTTACTACTTAAGAGCTTCGGCAGCTTTGGTAGCCACTTTTATTAGCTTTTGTAAAATCTCAATTGGAATTTTCTGAAATCTGGAGATGTGCAGGCTGTACGGATTCAGTCCACCAATCCAGCTAATCTTCTCCTTGTAGCACTTTCTGGAGACGGTATCCAAAGTACCTACAATTTTTTAATGTGTTTTTTTAGTCATTCTGACCTATTTTGCTATTTTGCTTTCGGTCTGCAGGGTTGCAGCTGCAGTAACGGTGATCAGAAGCTCTATCAGAGCTCTATCAGAGAACATGGGCTTCTTAATTATGCAATCGAACACTATGAATTGGAATACGCCTGTGTTTACCTAGATTTATGTCAGCTGTCATGAAAGGTTTATGTAATTGTAATATTGCCTTATGAACATGACCTAAAATACTGCAAAAAATGGTATCTTGTCAAGTAAAAAATAGTCAATAAATCTAATATTTCTCCTGTTGAGATCGTTGTATGCTTAATTTAAGATTATTTACCTTATTTCTAAATATTTTTTAATTGTTTTAAGTAATTTTCCCTTTAAAAGTACCTAAAAAATGTCCAGAAATATGCTAGATAATCTTATAAGTGCACAACCATCTCAAAATGGGAAATATGAGATATATTGACTAGATTTAAGATCATTTTACTTGACAAGATAAAAATTTTTGCTGTGCATGAGTTTTATGAACTTGACCTAAAGTGTAAAGTGTAAAGAAAAGTGTTAGCAAAACTTGCTGTGCTTTATTATGTTCATAATGACTGTCATGCTAATTACATTGTCCACCTCTGCAAAACAGTGTATTTTTGGCTAAAATTGAAACACGAAACATGACCTGAGCCACAAATTTGATCCCACATTTCCACAAATAAAACGGCAACAAAGAACTTTTAACTGTCCTATCCTGCCCCACCCCATCCCCCCCTCTTGGAAATGAAAAAGACAGTCGGGGTAATTTTCTTGCCTTGCTTCACCTGTGATTCCTCTCTGGCTATTCCGCTCTTCCTGCAGAACAGCCCGATTGATTGTGCTCTGCAGCTCGACATTTGCTTCATTCCCCTCTTTCACTCAGAAACAATGTCTTATCATCCCCGGAAGCATGACTGCTTCTCTGTCCACGTGGCCTGGCTGTCCTGTTCTGGCAGCGGCAGGACAGAGCCTGACATCTCATTCTCTGACAAATCTCTCTGATCAGAGACACAGAGATGAGGCATATCTGATCCTTTCAGATCAGATCACATCAGATCAGGCGCTTTGAGTCCAGCGGGCTCCGCCTGCCCAAACGTCCTGTCCTATCCCATCTGACAGGGTGGCAGCTGCTTCAAAGGCCTCCCCCCTGCAGAGCGCTTTTTATAGGCCGCCTCTGATTTCAACCTGCTGCCCACCGCTGTCTCTGCCAGGACCCCCAATACAAATGCCTGGCGCAATTAATACCCAATAGGGGTGCAATTCTCAGACTTCATAGTGATTCAAATTTAATTTCAATTATTAAGCATGTTATTTCGTCATAACATCTAAAATTAAGTACAAGTTGTTCATTTTTCAGGAGATATTTCTGAGGAGATTGGATATATCAGATAATCCATTTGGATATGCAAGAGGAAAGTCGGAGGAAAATAAGAGTTTCCAAAACTGGAAATCAAAAATGGATTAAAGGATTTTGAGGAAAAAGGGCTCCTAAGAACCAAGGAAGACCTGGTGGAACACCAAAACTGTTCTCATTAGACAAACAGCACTTAAAGTTTCATCTTGAAGGAGAGA